GCAGGTCCTCATCAATATTCAGAAGGAGTGAAACTGCAGGAAAACAATGTAAAGTGTCGTTTAATTAGGAAAATCAAACAATGGGGATTTGATACAACAATATACCGTCAGAAAGCTAATGGTAGCATCAGTAACTAAACTCTGTTCTACCTCCACCTGAGGGGTCTGTACCTGTTGGAATAACCACTCGGATTGTCACTTAGTACTCAATTCAATTAAACCATTTGCTACTCAAGTTTTACACTTTCAAAGATGAACATAAAGGCTTTATTCTTCAAAATATTGTTTTTACCTCTGCATATATATATTTCAATTTCGCTACACAAATATCCTTCCATGAAAAGGTCTGTGACATATTTCTTTAGCCAAAAGTCTACATTGCCAACCTCGTATCTTTGGCGACTATCCATTGCATTGACATATATGAATACAAAGTGTTGACTATATTATACTAAAATGATTTTGAAAATGCATATCAGCAAGTCACGAGACAATCATAACCAATATAAAATTGCAGTGGAAGGGCTTAGCTCAGAACTACATTTTGACATTTTTTTTTGGCATTTCATAGGCAGTGTGATGCCACTGAAAAGTTATCATGTTTGGAATGATATGTATCAGCCCTTTCCTACACGAAATATCTATACAATAAGACCATAAGTCTAGGTCGGAATTTAGAATTTCCAAGCTGGGGATATCCCATATAGTTAATGGCATTGGAAAACAAATGAATATTGATCAAATTGGAGCACTAGCACCATCCAGAAAGAAAGCTGCAATAAGTCATACCCCAAACATGGTAGGCAAAGTACAGTGTTTTGTATCAGGTGAGATTCCATGAGTACAAAGATCAGTAGGAAAGACCACCAATCTACCCCAGGTAATAGTATCCAACGTATTAAAGAAGGATACTTATCTAAAAACAGGGTATGGGTTCATCAAGATAAGGCTTCCTGTCATACTTCCTTCTCAGCCATTGCATACCTCAGAGAGAAACATGTATTCATGCTATTCCACATGAAGACATACTGGTTAAGTCGCCATATTCATCACCTGTGGACTTTTGTGAGATCAGAATATTTGAACAGGCCTTGAGAAGCTGTCATCTTTGTACACTAGATGGATTACGGAAACCTATAGGGAAGAATGTGGTGTTTTGGACAGAACAGCCTTACAATGGAGGTGTTTTATGTTCAGATGACAGAAGTCATATAGAACTTTCCCATACGTGACAGTGTAAACTTTAATGACATGGTGAGACTCCAAAATAATTTTACTATAATGTACCCATCCTCTGTATACAGCTCAATCAAACTTTTGTAAAGTAGCTTTTGTTTCATAATATGGACAACTATTGCCATCTAGAAGGTGTCTATGACCATTTTCCTAATATAAAATGCACCATAACTCTAATTCATCTTATATTATTGCTGCAACATTTGCTTAGTGATTATACTGGGCAAAAATGTTCATTTCAAAGTATTCCTGTCATATGTCAGAATTTTATGCTGACAAGGTTGTGGTTTTCTTATCGAGAAACAAATATCGTATTTTGTAGCCTAAAAGCATGATGCAGTCAGAAATGAAATGTCTAAGCCATGTTTTGTTTTTACTCTTCTCCTAAATACTTTTATCGTTTCCTCTGTTAGCTGTATTTAATGAGATTGAATGGTTAACCTTAACTGTAGGTGAATTCTGTCCATTGCAATGTGATTTATCCTGTTGAGTTGGTTAATGTTACCTTTATTTTAGGCTAAGAGCTTAGATTAACATAAGCTGATAAGAACTTTTAAATAAATATATATCCATCTCTCTTATCAGGCCAACATTCACCTTGTCATTTGTATTGTTATTGTACTTTTGGAAATAGACATTTGTGTATTCATGTCTCTATAGATGTTGAGTCTTTTTTATTGATGATCCCAGTTGCAGATCAGTTGCACTCTATAGTCCACAATTTTTAGAACTTACAGCTACCTGGCTTAACTGATTATTCTGTGGGAAAACCAATTTACTAGAAATACCATTAAGTAGTAAGGTATGGGAATTTTGCTGCTATGACCAAGTATTTGATTATGTTTAAATAATTCCAGATGTAAGTCTTTCCAAAGCTCAAAAAAGAATAGTAAGTTTAGTTACTTGTGTCCACAGTAGTTATACCCATGAAAATCCTTTCATTGCACAACAAATCGAACAATATGTTTTCGACAATAACTTCTTAAGTTATATTATACTCTTATACTTTATGATTTTATTCCTTTATGTCTTACTGCCTTAATGGTAAAAAACTGCATTTTTCTTCCTGACTATAAACAAGCTCTAGCCACACTGAGTTGAGTGACAATAAACTCGTAACCAAATCAAGAAAAAAACCTAAACTAACACTATATGAAACTGTTGTCTTAAAAAATAAGCAAAAATAAGAATAAAAAAAATTATTTTTTGAAAAACCATAATTTGGCTTCTACAATGAGTTCTACTTCAACAGTACTTTTCTAGATGTTATATTTTTTAAATAATTTTTTTTGAAATCTTGTATTTTCCTTAGGAAAGAAAATTATACTTAGAAAGAGTAATGCAAAAACTGATTTAACTCTTTGACGCTTGTTCTTTTTTGTATATCTCCATGATTTCTGTTACATTCATCAGTTTAATACAACTACTGGAATGGAATTATTTTATAATCTTTCATTTGTATCTGGCCTAATACTAGATGTCTATATGAGCAGTACTGTTCTTTATTTATAGTCCCCCGGTGGGACATTGCTAAGTTTACGGACTTACAACTCTAAAATCCCAATATGGCTTTGCTCTAACACAAACAAACTATTTAGAATATAAATAGATTATGTATTGGAAACAATGATTTAATTTAAAATATCAGGATAGGAAAACTTCTTTATTAAAAGGTGTTATACAATATCTCTTCTTTCTGATAATTCCGCTGTATCTAGTGTTGTCGGCCAAGAAAATAACTCCAACACATCTATTCCTTTGGTACTGACATACCACCACACCAACAAAAGGTCAAAATTTTCATAATGAAAAAAGAAATTGTAATGCTAGTAAATTACTGTAATGCCTATTGAGTCTATGTGATGCCCCTTCACCATTTCAACTCTTGAAACAGTTTCATTTATTGGGACTCCAATGGGACAGGCTCTTGATTTACATTAAGGTTTGGAAGAACGTTTGATAACAAAATTAACAATTGAAAAAGACAAGGTTAAAGCATAAGTCTCAGTTTATGGAGAAAGAATTCTGTGAAAGATATAATATACGGTTGATTATTAAAAAAATATTGATTTCTGAAACTGTCAAAAGAGAATTCCTGGCGTTGCTTTATATATATATAAGTGTGTCTGTGTGTACTAATAAAGCCGGTGGATTGCAAGAAATATAATATACTCTCGCAAATTTTGATTATTTTTTACATAGTTAAAAGAGAGACAATAAACAATAAAAGCGTTGGATATGTAAGTCTAAAGGTTAGAAGAGAAAGCAAGGTAAGTTTATTGCATTAGTATTAACTGGACCTATGCGAAATACATGATTTTTTTTTTCTGGCATTAGATGAGGAAAACCACAACAAGACAATAGAATAATATGAAAATATTTAAAAGATAGATCCTTTTGAATTGAAGATTTCATATGGTTGATATTAATTCAGCTATTCTATACTTGTGTTTTGTATAAGGCAACTGAAATATGAAACCAAAAAAGTCGAGTGATGTGAGTAATTCAATAAGTAATTGAAAAAATGCTCTGTAAGTTATAATTCTGGGAAACCAGGTGAATGGACGTATAGTGAGAAGGCCGTTAACGTCTCCTCAGGGGAAGAAAAAAATCTTATAATTGATAGAATAAATTTCAAGAGAAGACTACCAAGCTTGTACAAATTTATGAGCAGAGCTCAATTTGATAGTAATTTAGTAAAAAATGTTATTGTGTCAAATTTTTGTAAGTCAGTTAATACAAGAGTTATTTTATCTATTACATTTATTTTAGTTTTGACAGATTTGGTTACTTGTATCAAAAGGATGTGATTATCTCCTGCCCTTTCATTTCATTCAAGAGATATCAAACACTCTACTAAAGTTGTAGAATGGTTTAAGGGCAATACCTGTTACCCAACGACAAAAGGCTCTTTCACAATGAAGTTCTGTGAAAAAGTGTACCTTGCTGAACTCTTAGGGAAAGAGTCACCCCAGTCTCCTCTTGGTATCATAATGTCTCAACTTGAAGTATTCCTCTTTTCACATGATTTTCCTAGTTCCTTACGTGGCATCTTGTTTTATACAAATAATTATGTTTTGTAAAGAAATCAGAAATGTAAGAAGTTGAATTCAATACATATTATCAAATGAGGATAAAACCTGGCGATGATATATTTCTTGTAAACTGCTTAAAGCTGCATCATGATGTATTTTTTTAAATACGACTTTAAAAATTTGCAAATAGGGATCATAAAAAAGTAAGGAAACAAGACAGGGGTTGAGATATCGCAGACAATATTTACTCAAACTACAAATCCTCATTTTGACTCACCAAATGTAATTCCAGGTAACAGCATGGAACCAAATTAGTGGTTTATAGTTTGAGTAAATAATGTCTACAGTGGCTCCAGCCTTGTTTCTTTTCTTTTTTTAAGATTCATATTTGCAGGTTTTTAAATTTCCAGTTATTTTATTTATCATATATACATCTTTTTTTTTATAAACTTTCTGTTGTATGTAGTTGAACAGTAGATCCGAAGTTATCCGGTTGCAAAAAAAAAATCTGCTTTCAATACCCGCGGTGGATAAGATGCAGATAGCCCAATGTTTAACTATGAGCTTAACAACAAACAAAACACCAAACTGAATCGAAAAATGTGACTTTGAAATAAAGTATTGATTAGTATGTATTGCTCATATTATCCATAAGCTCTTAGTTTTATATTGAATAAACTTTTGCTGTGACGTCACTAGGCGTCATAGGATTTCTTGATTTGTTCATCTTCCGTCAGGGTCTGGTGACGGTACTCTTACAATTATACTATATAGAGATTCATAGTCAAAGATCAATGTAATTGAGTATTTTTGTGTTGAATTTCTTGTAGAACCGGTAGACATAGATTTTCTGAACAAAGTCAGGTATGTTATTGTTTGACAGAAAATATTTTGTCTGAAAGAACCAGTAACAATGATTTATAGTTGAATATAAATTTCAGTAGTAACGATAGTGTTCCTACAAATCAACTAGAGCTCTGTTCTTATTACTCAAGTCTAGAGCTAGGCCTATTTTACTTTGGATTATTCTATCTTGGGCCTATTATTAGGCTTAACGTAGATGTATCTGCATAGATTTAACTTAGGTAAACAAAAACCTTGAAATATTGCGATACGTACAACTTGATTCAATTAACTATAATAATGAATGTTTAATAATATAGTTGTACGATAAAATGATCCAACATGTATTTTAAATAATTCTTGTGAGGAATTTTTTTTTTTTTGCTTTCTAGTTTCATCGCTCAATTTGATTGAAATATCACCCATTAAACTGAATAATCAATTTCAATTTGCTTAAAAGTAAGCTTGATAAACTAAGCTGAATAGTTAGTAGTGAATCCTGCCAGTGATCTATTTTATTAAAGAGCCACTTAGTGTTTTAAATGGATATAGCTTTACACATACTGAGGTTACTCAGCTGTCTTCAGTTTTTAATTCAGTATGCAAAAAAGACAAAAACACATATACGATTTTAGGTCTTTCCAAAAACAAAATCATTATTAATTTTCAAAACACTGATATAACTAGAGAGTTTTACTTTTATGGTTCTGAAATGTTCTGCAGATAAAGCTTAATTAACACTTTGTTTTGGGGTTTTTAAGTTTAAGTTGCCAAGATACATGTAATTCTGTAATATACATTATGCATAAGATATTTTGGTGGAATAAGAATAATTATAGTAAAGAAAGGAAGTATGAAGGTTCTATTCTAGTCTTTCAAGGAACAGAAAAAATAATTGATTCAGTAAATGTTGTGCTAAAAAAGTAGTAACTGAAAAGTTGAATATGAGTATAAGATGAATACTCAAAACATTATAATTGCAATGAATTTCTGCTGCCTTTGAATTTTTGTTTTATCAGTTTATGTAATGATTCATTGAAATCTATATCTTTCTGTAGAAAAACTTCTATATTAATGTATTGTAAAAACAAATTATAAAAAGTCTAAATACAATTTTCCAATGAATAATTTTTTATACCATTAAAAGTTGTTATACTTTTGTGAATGTTGTTCATATCAGAAAGCAAATAGATTTAATTTTCCACAAAGAACAGAAGAAAATTATAAGACTTAAAGTTCATCCCACCATGACCAATCCTCATCCAATAAAACAATCAAATATCAAAAATAAGTTAGGTATAGTTTTTACTTTTATAAGTCATTTTATAAAAGTAAAAGTAAAATAATTTGATCTAATTGGAAGCTCTATTATTAGTTGTACTGTTTCTCAAAATTATGACTTGCCTTTAACCCATTGACTATGGCTGCTCTAAACGTGTGCAGATTTTTTGCAAATCGCACACGGTCTATAATACATTCACATTCAACTGCTGAAGGGAGACCATATGGCAAATCAGCAGTCAATGGCTTAAATAATTTTGAAGGAAAAAATTTGCATTTAAATATTAACAAATTACTCCTAGGAAAATTGTTCAGTCTCTGAGCAATTTAGGGCACCTAAATTTAGCATGCTCTTAGTACCAAAGTTGAAATGGAAGATTATGATATGATGGAAATTATTAAAATTTGGTAAGATTTGGTGACTATTGAAAATATGAATCATTGTACCCTAAAATTCTATTAACATGATTTCAGAAATGGGAGTGAAATATTCTTGGATGTCAAGTTCTTAATTAATATAGTGACAAAATTAATGATATGCTGCTGTTGCCCCCCTCCCCAAAATTAGCATTTATATCTTGCCTTTGTTTCATCATGATACCTTGTTAGTTTTGGATATGTTCAATGTGTATTTATGCTTTCAGATTTGTGAACAAATGAAGAGATTGTTTTCTGTGATATTGTGATGTGCTCTGATGAATACTTTCTTTGAAACTAGTTTAAGTTGTCAATTTTTACCACTTTAAAAATTTTGTGTGATCATTATATGATTAGAGCTTAGAGTAGGCATCTTTTAGTTTAACAATCATGCTGGTTGCCAATTACCAGTCTTCTTTAAAGATGCAACAAGTAATAGGTTATTATTGATTATCGACCAATCTTGTGTTTCTTTTGATTGGAAATTATGTAGTTATGAAAGTTGGACATGTCAGGCATGACCAATTAACAGATCACCTGATTTGCAGCTCAACAAAAAATATGCCAATGAATCCAGATAGAACTCTCATTTTATTGATAGTTGTATGACTGAGGTCTGCAAAAACATGAAGCCACATGACATACCTGAGCTCAGCTATTGTTTACATGGGTCCTGCAGATCTGTAATACATTCTACACACATCTACCTATCACTTAGTTTAAAATATAATTTTGTTTGATACTAGCAATTACTGTAAAGTCAACAACAGTGTTAGAACCTTAAAATAAAGGAATGTTTTCACATTTTCCATGCATATACCCAATGCATATGATGCATTCAGTTGGACATGGCTGATGTCCTGTGCACTGTAGGGAAAATCTATTGTAGTTGATGTGATACTTGTATATGTAAAATTTTGAATTTTTACTTACTGTTGCATGATTATAAATACTTTGCTAAAGAATTAATATCAGCCAAGATCAATATCATTAATTTATGTTTTATATTTGAAAACTGATGTGTACTGTTATATAATAGTATACTTCAGTAGCTATTTTTGATTTTTTTTTAAAATGTCTTGCAAATCAGATCCAGTCCACAAACCTGTAGTTGGGAATTACTGGTGTAACAGATATGAACTACTCATTTATATATATATATATATATATATATATATATATAGTTAGTAATAATAAAAAATATATATATATATATTATTTATACACTATATATATATATATAGTAGTTAGTAAGTAACGTAACTTTACTTAACGTTTAAC